CAACTTGAATTATTTGTAATTGTTGTAGAAGTTGATCGATTTCCAAGTTTAGAACGTGAAAAAAATGAAACCGAGCCAACACCTCGTTCACGAACACCTAAACCACATGAAAACTATACTCATACACGAGAAGTTATATTTGCTTTACCTACTTTACAGTTGAATCTTAAGACTGACCACATACAACCAGTAAAACTGCCTTCACCTTGTGATATAAAACCAACTGTTGAATGTAGTTTTATCACAGAATTTGAAGACCATATATTTGTCACTGTTGATGCTGAAGCATTTTTCTTCCTCCATGATCTCATCACATCCTATATTTGGGAAAAAGATAAAGTTGTAAGTTATAGATGTGATAATTTATGTTAAAAATATTGTATTTACCTCTTGTTTTAATTGTAAATTATTTAATTATAATTGATATTTTATTTCAGTCTTCAATGATTAATAGATCTCAAAGTCCAGACATGCCAAGTACTAGTAAAATTCCTCAATCTTATTCGGAATCTCCTCCATCATTCACTAATGACTGGAGAGACTATAATTGTACTACATGGCATTTGGAACCAACTGTTCGGTAAATAAATTTGTAAACATTAATCAATTATTAATATTATATTATATTTATACAGTATATTTTATTGTAATTATCTTTTTTTTTTTAATGACACATTCTATTTTTAAATAGACTATTATCATGGGGTGGTAAAAGTATAGAACCATATGGTGTAGATTACATACTTCAAAAATTAGGATTTTCTCACGCACGAACAACCATACCCAAGTGGATGCAAAGAGGGTTTATGGATCCATTAGACAAAGTATTGTCTGTACTAATGTTACGAATGGTAGTTTTGGCTCGAGATGAAGATACCATTAGATGAGACAATTGAAATTAAAAATATATATTCCATTAAAACAACGAGAACATTCTTTTTCTTATTATATTTTTACTTGTATTTTAAAATTTTATATAAGTGATCCTACTTATTTCTGCCATCTTGTTCCATTTTATAATCTTTATGTTAATTTTATTAAGTATTTTGTATAAACCAAAGATTAGTTATATTTTTATTACTCTTGCACAAATAAAAGGCTGTATTGGATTTTCTATACCTATTATTTAATTAAATAACTCTATCTTTTGTTAAAATAAAAAATTTTTAGGAATGTTTTACTTCAATCCGAAGCTAAAAATATATTGATTTTAAAATTTAAATTTTAAAATTAAAAATTAAAAATTTTATATAAACATTTATTAATTTTTTTTTGTACAATTTGGCCTTATTTTTAGTTTTTATAAGTCTGAATGAACTATAAAATTAAACACTTTAATGCATGAAAAGAAAGTTGATTATTCTCACNTAAAATTAAACACTTTAATGCATGAAAAGAAAGTTGATTATTCTCACCTTTCATAGCTTTAAATTTATACCCTCAGGGATATAATCAGGTAGTACTCCTAGTGTCTGGGTACTACAAGTAAAATTTGCAAAATTTGATCATTGTGTACAAAATAGTGAAACTAAAATTAAAAAAAATTTGGGGGTAAATTAATTCCTCTCTAGTTAAAATTATTTTATATAATAATAACTTTTTGTGTGCGTGGGAGAGAGACCTGCATAATGACAAATTAATCTATTTTGAAGACTATAGGCTATCCTAAAATGTAAACATTTTATTAATATGAATATTTTCAATATATAATTTTCATTAATTAATCATGTTATGATTTAATTATACAAAAATCTTTTAAAAAAGTTTGTATCCATAAAAATCATTGAAATTTTTATATCTATGAAGGATCTATTTACATATCTCTTTTCGTATGACTATTTCATTTATTTGAATTTAGAAAAGCTCTTTGTTTTTATATAGTTGTTTTAAATTTTTTGAAAAAAAGATTCTGGCAAATATTTTATCTATAGTTTTTCTGCTAAATAGTTTTTCCTTTAAAACTATTTGGTTACAAGTTTAGTTTTATCAATATTATATGATTATTTGATACAATATAATTTCTGATCGGGTTTAAATTTTTTTTTAAAAATAAAGTATTTGTATAGTTTTTCTTTTATCATCTTAAAGTATATTATATTTTTTATAATTTAATGTAGATTTAAAAGTCAACTAATAACTTTTGTTTAAACTGTCTAGTATAATTTCTCAAGTTTACAGTGCTCATTTATTATTTTAAACGAATTTTTCGTTAATTTAACAATATTAGCTTCGATGCGAAGCTGAGAAGGAATTGGTTTTACTAAGATGTGTTTTTTTTTTTTTTTTGAGTCTCACCACTTTCTCAGCTTTCACCGAACCGATTTCTTTCAATGATACGTCAAAAGATCACCAATCGTATCTAGTCAAAGACATGACCCTCAAAAATTGAAAAAAATTCCCTCGTTTCCCGTAAATGGAGGAAACCTCCAAAAAAATTACAAATTTAAAAATCGCTAATTTTCGAAATTTTTTAAATTAAAATTGCCATAACCTTTTTAAAAATAACCAAATCAATATAATTTTTTTTTATATAAATGCATGATATCATTACCTTTCATTTGGCATATTTTTTTTTTATATTTGACCCTTTACCTGCCCTCAGGGGGTGATTTAAAATGACAACTTTTTCACAAAAAATGAATTTTTTCAACTTGACTTTTGAAAATTTTCCGGAAAGTCTGACACTTTTATAAAAAGTGAAAAGTGAATGGATTAATACAATTTTTTCATGAGAAATAATATTTTTTAATAATCCCTTTTTTATTCGACATACTTTATCTTAATCAGGATATTAATAAGCAACTAACATCATATAGCTTTTGGAATAATCCACCAATTTTTTAAAATTAAAAATTATTTAAAGATTTGCATCGAAGGGTTTTTTTTTGATAGTGATTTTAATCACTGTCAGATATCATTATACTTGATCCAACTATGCCACGTCACCACTATGCCGCGATCCCCCTGTATTGGGTTTTTTTTCTGATGTTAAAAAATAATGTTAGATTGAATAAAAATATAATTGTAAAAATTCATTTAATTGACTAGGTTGATTGTAACGGTGACATTTGGTTCAGTAAAAATATTTAACAATTGTAACCGTCAAATGAAAAAGGGATTATTAAAAAATATTATTTTTCATAAAAAAATTATGTTGATCCATTCACTTTTCAAGAAGTTATAGCATTATAAAGTTAAAAATGTAAAAAATAAAATTGAGAATTTTCACACAATAATAGCACTTATATAATAATTTTGAAAATCTGTGTACACCCCTTGTAAGGTATATAAAAATAAAATAAAATACAAAACCCAGAATTAAAACACAATATTAGCATATTTTTGAATACAGTGACTATTTTTACCGTGAAGACAAAATAAAGTCCGAAATTTTTTTTTTGCATAATAAAGTACATTACATTAGCTTTAATTTAAGATCTATATAAAAGTGTCAAACTTTTTGGAACACTTTCAAAATTTAAGTTGAAAAAGTAAATTTTTTGTGAAAAAGTTTTCATTTTCAAACCCCCTGTAGGCAGGTAAAAAGTCAGATTAATAATATATATTATATCTAAAATTTTACCGCATAAAACAAAAATTCATATATCGTTCTTACAAAAAGGTATAAAAACGATTTAAAATAAACATCAATGTTATTTAAATTATTTTCGAATAATTTTTCATTGTTTGGTTAATATGTTTAAAAATATATCCATAAAATTTGCAAACATTAGTATATTTTTTAAATCAAAGAAACTCATCTTGCCTAAATCGTCAACTTTTCGCATATATATATATATAGTATATATATGTGTATACATATTATATACATGATGATTATTTAAATCTATCAATGTAAACCTAAAAAATATATATGTATACATGTATGTGTTAATAAATATATTTTTAAAATATAATACAGGGATGCTAGTATAATAAATGGATCAATATGTAAGCATGTGAATAATGTATTATGAATGTTTATTACTGAGAAATACAATATTATATTCAAAAATAATTCCGTCACTTTTTTCTCTATTCCTAGATATGATATTTTTTAAATAAAATCATTATTTCACATTTTCCTTTATTTTCTGTTATAATCGAAAGTAAATTATGAGTAATGTAATATACAAATTTTATAACGGAGTTAATTTTACTAAAAAAACAGTACTAAATTATGATAAAATTTAAAAAAGATGTTATAAGAAATAAATTCTTAAATAAAAAAAAAAATTTACCTATAATTTGGCTGTGTTAAATTATTTAATAATTATACGTTTAAAATAGGTGAGAGAAGTAATGAAATTTGTGTAAAGATTAGTTGAAAAAATATTTAAAAAATGACGGTTGTATGCTAAAAGGAACAAAGGTTGACGACTGCGGACACGATCGAATCATTAACACGCGACCATTATAGGAGGTATGATGACAGGAATTAAAGGCTACCACTCTCTATCTAATGATATCAAATAGAATCTATTTTTTTAGAATAATGAGTTAAGTATCAAGTGTTAAACTAGATAGCTTCAAATAAGAATTAAAAAATTGACAATTGTCAATTTATTTTTCAATAAAATATATTGTTACAAGTGAAAACTTTAAAAAAAAACTCAAAATAATTGGTTTCCGACGTAGTTGGGACATGTATAGATGATATCTGAAGTAATTAAAATCACTATAATAAAAAATGCTTTGATGTGAACTTTTAGATAGTGTTTAATTTTTAGAAGGAATTTTTGGATTATTCCAATAGCAATATCAACTCTTATTTCCTTTATTCATATTTTCGCACTATTTTACACATCAAACAAATCTAAAGCTTTTGCATAACAAGGTAACATCTTCCTCGACTGTTTTTAATAGTTTGAATAATACAGATTGATATACGTTTTATTTTCGTCAAAGTTTTTAATTCATTAATATACTTGACAATGTACTTATGGTTTCTGGCATGCAAGNTTGACAATGTACTTATGGTTTCTGGCATGCAAGTAAAATTTACGTATTATTAATTGGTATTATTACGAAAATAAACTTGACAGCTAAAAAACGGCTAATTTCTATTATGTTATGTATAGATATATAATTAATAGTGTTTCTAATTTTTGAAAACATTCATTAAGTGCCGCCATACTTAGTTCCTCAGTAAGTTAGTATATAGAACTCATAAAGACCGTCCCGAAACTAAAAATATGAAATTAAAATTATTTTTAATATTTTTAAGTTTTTTTTGATACGTGATATTTTTGAAACACCTTTACATATTGAAAAGTGGTCAATGAAACTTATAAAATAATGTTTATTGAGAGATGTGTCATCACCGACGCTGTCATAGGGATGGCTTTGAACAAAAGTTAAAGGTAATGTATACATTTTTATTTTACAAGCTTTAAGTATCCAGTAAAAAATTTATTTTTCTATTGATATAAATGATTTATTGCAGCGTGATTAATGNTTCTATTAATATAAATGATTTATTGCAGCATGATTAATTTATATTAAACTTTGGCTTTTCATGAAAAACATTTAGTTGCGTAATTTATATAAAAAACACAAAATTTAATCAGTTGTATATAACAAATATTAAAGTATTTCAAAAATAAGAATATTATTCTATTATTTAAAAATATAATGAAAATATTCTGTTTTTCTGAAATTAATTGTTTAATATCAAATGAAACTCTTAAATAAAGCTACGCAAAATTGACTATGTTATCTAAAAAATTTTATTCTAGGGAAAAATAATAATAGATTTTAAAGATGCATAATGTTTTTACCTACCATTTGGTATATTTTTTTTATTATAATTATTATATTTATTTATAAATTTCACACTTTACCTGCCCACAGGAGGGATTCAAAATGACAACTTATGCACAAAAAATTTAATTTTTAAACTTAACTTTTTAAAGTATTCCGGAAAGTCTGACACTTTTATATATATCTTAAATTAAAGTTAACGTAATGTACTTTATTATGGGAAAAAAAAATTTGGAACTTTATTTTGTCTTCACGGTGAAAATGGCTACCAAATGCTATTTTTGTATAAAAATTCTCAATTTATTTTTTTACATTTTTTACTTTATAATGCTATAACTTATTGAAAAGTGTATGGATCAACACAATTTTTTTATAAGAAATAATAATTATATCCCTTTTTCATTCGACATACTTTATCTTAATCAGTATATTAATAAGAACACAGCAGATTATGTAGTTCTAGTAGAATCCACCAATTTTTTAAAATTAAATACTATCTAAAGTTTACATCGAAGCGTTTTTTCTTCTAATGATTTTAATCATTGTCGGATATCATTATACTTCATCCAACCATGCTACGTCACCAATGTGCTGGGGTTTTTTAGTTATTTTTGAATAATTAATAATTAATAACACATGAATAATTCAATTATGTTTTTTATTTGAAATTTTAGTTGATAAAATTTTAAGGAAGTAAGAAAGTGATAGGATGTTTTTTTTTTTTTAATA